CCCCCCCCCCCGCCTCAGAAAACGAAAAAAGTAAAAATATAAAGTAAAATTCATATCCTGTACACAGCACTACAGATGCGTCTCAGCAGCGCGGTTTACAGACGCCTGGTCTTTTTGACCCTGATACAATCTGAGTGTTGACGCCCTAGCCTCCCTGGGGAGGATACAGCCCCGCTGCAGTATGAGACTTTAAAAGCTAAATCCACGGCTGTCTCAACTTTATATCTACATCTAATTTTTACCATGTAAGGTAACCTTTGTTCCGGGAACGAATGTTCCGCTCCATATCATTAAAAATTTTATATATCGCTTTCCTATATATTTTGTAGTGATTCAGTCATAGTAAATCATATATGACGTAACTTGGATGTTTTTTCAAATATTCAAACTGTAACTTAAGGGGCTTTGCGTCATGGCTAACGTGTGTTCCCCAGAAACATTGCCAGAAAGTTTAGTCTTGCCCAAGTACTTGGTGCAATAGAAAACAGGGTTTTCTGTTGCTGAGTGAAAACTAAATTGTGATTCCATGATAGTTTGACATTTCTGATATAACATATGGACCACGACGGAGTAGTTATTTTTAAATTAACATTTAAAGGTTTATTTTACTGTCAGGAGAGTGTAGTTTCCCTACTTTGATTATATTCAGTGACAAGCAAACTTAAGTCGTTCCAAAAACAATGAACTGTTCTATACAGAAGATCATCATAATTTTTACAATGTTAAACTTGAAGGAGAAAAATAAAAGAACCAAACTAGTGATGATTGGGTTTTCAAAGTCGGGCGTTTTTCAATTGACAATAAGGTATGTTCCTTTTTGGGATTAAACGATGAATTAATAGACTGAAACTTTGATACAAACTTCTTAATGTGGGACCGTAAAATAATCAAACATAGTTTGTAATCTGTGCACTTCATATTTTAAGAGCATGCCTGTGAAATCAGTTGCACCTCTATATTGGGTCTGGCTGGTCATCGTAAGTGTACAAGCAGTGAATATCGGCTTTCGTTGCCCGTAGCAATTCACGTTTATGGCCACGGTTACATAAGCTCACTATAGCATTTTGTTTTTTATTATTCTTGTGTACAACTGAAAGTGAACAAAGGAAAAAAAACTACTTCCAAAGCTGAGTGCAGCCGGCGAGTAGAAACTTTCAACCGAACTATCGCTTTTCACGATGTTGGCCAACAGTTACCTTGCTGCACGTATCATCAAAACTACGACTGCCGCTGCGACCCTCGGTTTTCTGTGCTGTGTCTTATATATCTCCAAAGACCGTGGCTCATATTGGCCCGGCATTAACCTTTCAACCAGGAACGACCTTTCGGCATGGGCAACCGTCCCAAACTTTGTGCTTATGGTAAGGATGTTTTCAAAAAAGCTACCCCCCTATGATGGTATGCTTGTTGAGAGCATGCGCCTATTTTGGCCGGATGAGATCAAATTGGTTGTAGTACTGGACAACGAATCGCCGCAAGACCACATTGTAGGAGCTGAAATTGCCAAGCGCTATCCGTACCCGAGTGTCCATTTTGAAAATCCGGCCCCGCACATTTATCGTAAAATGGGCTATCATCGGCAGCAGTGGTCCAACTTCTATCCCGAGAACTACACCGATGCCGAGTACGTTGGCATTGTTGACACAGACACCTTATTTGTTACCATGGTAACACCAGAATTGCTCTTTGAAGATGGGAAACCAGTCGTCTTTGGGATAATCGGCAATTTCACGAGTTTCATCTTTCGACAAGCCGCTAAGTTTACGGAAAAATTATATGGAACTCCAGAAGTGATGCAGTGTATGACATATTTTCCTGTTGTAATTAAAGTGAAGCACTTAATCGAACTTAGGCACTATTTGGAGAAAAAATACAACAAATCTTTCGATGCTATATACAGAGATGATATTTACACCATAGACAAGTTTTCAGCCCACTTTCATTTCATGTGCCAGTATATATACCTTTTCCATCGAAACGAGTATAGATTTTATCTGCAGAGTCACCCACATGGAAATATCTCCGAAGAAGAGGGAAGTGGCGATGGTAAAGTGTCATTTAGTTACTACAAGGAACACTTCACTCCGGAAGAAATGCAGCCCTTTCCGCGGGTGGCAATACATGGTCGCTACCACACCCCGCCCTATAGTATATTAGGTATACTTATTATATTTTAAATACATGTAGTACTGAGGGGGGAAGTTACTGTGCAAAACCGAGACTACGGTCAATAGAGAGAAAAAGGAGATGTTATAAAAAAAGTTATGGGTAAAATTTCATGGCTTAGCCACATATAAAAGGGCCAACTGAAACAATTTCCCGGGCATTCTCTTTGTGAGTATTTGCACCTATGTACAAAATTTTAAAAACAGATTTTACGCAATTAGTTATTGTTTATGGGGAATGACTTAAAAGTGAAACTCTTTCGTTAATGTATAAATAGTTTTAAAAATAGTTACAGAAACAAATGGCATGTTTTAACATGTTTTGGTTCAAAATGGAAAATAAT